TAAGAATATGAATGCTAGCGATCTGAGGACTAAGGTAAAATGTCTAGCATCCGGTAAAAAAGGCCCTCTGGTGTTCTCAACACACACCATATGAAACATCGCAGCATTATGCTGCTATTTTGCTCTCATATTCTGTGTGATTTTTTCGCAGCAATACCATTTAGGGACCTTCAACAAAATAACCTACTGTTTTTTAAAAGGCCGGCAACGCATCTGCCATTCCCCTGGTGTTGCAGTTGTTCATGGGCGGCGGCAGTCACTTACCATTATGTGAGCCGCATGCTCGCTAGCCCGATGGTATATAAAAAATAGAGGGTGCGGTCCTTCACCGTCCAAGTCGACCCATTCATGCCGCATCCATATATAACTGCAGCGTTGATCTTGATTTACAAAGCTCAAATATTTTTTCAAGATGTGAAAGTAAGACTAAACCGTGCCCGTATCACCAAACGATACCAAACTTTATTTTTATTGGTACGTTTTTATTAAATCGCTTTGTGTATGTCTGTAGGGTCTTTAGTAATTGATTTTAAACTAACATCTCGATGTGATGACTTGAAATTTTGAACATAGCTCAGAATCGAATGAAAATGTCATAATATGAAAAAAACTTGGAATATTATACTTACTTACTTACTTATCTTCACGCACAATCCCTGACGGGGTAGCCAGAGAGAACAGATCGCCAAGTGTCACGATCCTTACAAACCTCTTTCGCTTCTTTCAGATTCATTATCTTCTTCATACATGCACGTCTAGGTATCCGAGTACTCTTGACCCTACCCTCTTCGAGCAATTTGCTCACATGGTCTTCGAAAGTTAGTCTCGGTCTACCTCGACACCTTTTAATATTAACTTTCGCGCTATATATTTTCTTCACCATTCGGTCTTCACTCATTCGCTCAACGTGCCCAAACCACCGAAGCACGCCCTTATCAATTTTTGTGATAAGGTCATCTTTCAAACCTGCCATATTGCGAATCTCTTCGTTTCGCTTTCGGTTGGCCATGGTAATAATTAATTTTAATACATAATTTTTTAAATTTCACTTATTCTTGCTTGTTATTACGCACACAGAGTAAAATTGCATATCGCATATGTAAGTAATCGGTACAAAACAAAGCCACAAAACTTCAACTTGCACATCGTGATGCCGCGCTATCTGTTGTAATCAGCTTATACTGAGACGTAGAAAGATTTGTTGACAGCCGCAATGAAATAACGTCGGACATATATATAAATGCCCGACGTTAGATAAGACGTTAGATAGACTATATATTTAGATAAAGGTTGTGTTTTGATTCAACAGCTACGAAGCGTTACAATCAACAGACGTTATTTTAAATGATTAGTGTTTTGCAAAAATATTGATACAAACTGGTACATAAGGGGATATAGTATTTTTTAACGTGGTAGAGCCATGCTGCAGCTATATCAGTAGTATAGTTGTAGCACGAATGAGACGGCTCGACCGGGGAAGAACCACGCTCTCACAGAATACCAGCGTAAAATAGCAGTTTAACACTGCTATTTTTCGTATGGTGAGTGTAGAGAACCGGAGACCCTTTTTACTGGAAAAGAGGCATTACATCTTAGTCCTCACGGGTGACAACGCATCTGCATTTTGATTCGCAAACGAGGATAAATATAGATGTCTATGGGCCACAGCAATCACTTACCATCAGGTGGACTGTGTGTTCGTTTGTCACCCGATCCTATAAAAAAAAACCCTAATGGTAAGTAACCACCACCGTCTGTAAACAGAGCAGAACAGAAACTTTTTTATTCAATATAGATTATAAATAATACTTATTAAAAGTCACTCTTTTGTTTTACTACGACTGGTCCTGGGAAGGTTTTGGTTGACTGATTTTTAAATCCTTAGATAAAAGTTGTAGAAAAAAATTGGGACAAACACAACATGAACAAATAAAAAGCTACAGTTATATAAAAAAAATATTTCAATTGTTACACTTTTATATTCAATCGGGTTATAGCTTATTTGATGGAATACTTAGACTCGTAACTGACGAGTGAAAATCGGCCCTTAGTAAAGTAAATGTTTGTGGCGGGTAGAAGGAAAAGGGGAGATCTCCCGCCGGGCAAGGTGTTCTGCCCGGGGAGCGGCCAACGCTCCGATTGGTAGTTCGGAGTCATTCTATATATACTGCTTTAACTTTGGAACTTTGTTAGCGCGATTTAGGTATCGATGTGTTTCGCTTCCTGTGGGGCCGCTTCCAGAAGCGGCCCCACAGGAAGTGGACCTGGTCGAGCCCCGACGGTTCGACAAAAAATGAGATTGACTTCATTATGACGACCAGACGACAACTGTTCAGTGATGTCTCAGTGATCGCGAGGGTGAAAACCGGCAGCGATCACCGAATGGTTAGAGGCACACTGAACCTAAACGTTAAGTTGGAGAGGTCTCGTCTAATGAAGTCAACGCTCCGTCCCCCTCGTGCTCTAATCCAAAGTCCCGAAACCTTTCAGCTCGAGTTACAAAACCGTTTTCAGTGCCTAGAAGACTGCAATGAAGTGGACGATTTGAATGACAAGCTCGTGGAAACTGTCCATGCGGTCGGAGCTAAGTTCTGCAAGACCCGCCGCAGAAGAACACAAAAACTCTCCGATCACACTCTTAATCTCATGGCTGTTAGACGGGAGATGAAGCTACATTCTTCAACAGATTTAACAGCATACAGGCAACTGAACAGACAGATCTCCAAATGCATGCGGCGGGACTTACGCCAATTCAATACAGCTCGTATTGAAGAAGCGATCGAGCGGAACCGAGGCTCCAAAGTCTTTGCCAGAGATCTGTCTGCCAGAAAGCGCCAACTGTCAAAGCTGAAGACAGAATGTGGCAGCATCGTTTCCGGGGCACCTGAGATTTTGAGTGAGATTGAGAGGTTCTATGGGCAGCTGTACACGTCATCGTTGGAGCTGCACGCAAGTGTGAGTAACGATCCAAGAGCGAGTCTTATCCGACATTATTCCGATGATATCCCGGACGTCAGTCTGAGCGAGATTAGAATGGCTCTCCAGCACCTTAAAAACGGCAAGGCCCCAGGCGAGGATGGAATTACAGCGGAGCTTCTGAAAGCGGGTGGAAAACCGGTACTTGAAGTCCTTCAGAAGCTCTTTAATTCCGTCCTCCATGGTGGCATTACACCGGAGGCGTGGAGCAGAAGTGCGGTGGTCTTGTTCTTCAAGAAAGGCGACAACGCTCTCTTGAAGAACTACAGACCGATTTCCCTTCTGAGCCGCGTCTACGTGCTGTTTTCGAGAGTCATTACGAATCGTCTCGCGCGCAGACTTGACGACTTCCAGCCTCCCGAACAAGCCGGTTTCCGAAAGGGCTTTAGCACCATAGACCACATACATACCCTTCGGCAAATTGTACAAAAGTCCGAAGAGTACAATTTGCCACTATGTCTGGCGTATGTGGACTATGAGAAAGCCTTTGATTCCGTCGAAATTTGGGCGGTGCTGCAGTCCCTTCAGCGATGCCAAGTTGACTGTCGGTATATCGAAGTGTTGAAGTGCTTGTACAGTAGGGCTACGATGGCTATCCGAGTACAGAACCAGAGTACGAAACCTATCCAATTGCAGAGAGGTGTAAGACAGGGTGACGTCATATCCCCGAAACTCTTTACCGCTGCATTGGAAGATGTTTTCAAGCTTCTGGACTGGAAAGGATACGGTATCAACATCAATGGCGAGTACATCACTCACCTTCGATTTGCCGACGATATAGTCCTTATGGCAGAATCGCTGGAGGACCTAAGCACTATGCTCAATGACCTCAATAGTGTTTCCCAACGGATAGGTCTTAAGATGAACATGGACAAAACAAAGATCATGTTTAATGTCCATGTCACACCTATGCCGGTAGTTGTTGGGAACACTAAGCTCGAAGTTGTTGACGAGTATGTTTACCTGGGACAAATAGTCCGACTAGGTAAGTCCAACTTCGACCGAGAGGCCAATCGACGGATTCAACTCGGTTGGGCAGCGTTCGGGAAATTACGGCACATCTTCTCGTCAGGTATACCTCAAAACTTGAAAACGAGACTGTACACCCAGTGCGTGTTGCCAGTGATGACATACGGAACTGAGACGTGGTCCTTCACTGCTGGCCGGATGAGGAAGCTCAAGGTCGCTCAGCGAGCTATGGAGAGGGCTAAGATATGCAGGAAGTCGATGGATGCAGGTGGCTCAGGACCGTGCTTTGTGGCATTCTTTGGGGGAGGCCTATGTTCAGCAGTGGACTTGTGAAGGGCTGTAATGATGATGATGATGAATGATGTGTTTCGCTTGTGGCGCGAGGACAGCGCCGCCACATGTTAAATTCTTCGTTGGTTTAGTGACCGTTGACTCGACTATTGTTCAAATTTATTGTTCCAAGTTTGGATCTCCGGGTCGGGCCAAAATAATTTATTATTTTTTCTGTCACGAAATTCTCAACAGCAACCCGGAATTAAGAAGTTGGCGATATTTCATCGTCGCGCCTCGGAAAGAACGTAAAACTGTAGCTCCTGTGCCAGTAACCTCTCCCTCTCATGACAGATTGCAGTCTGATATAGTATTGTTAACGTGGTAGAGCCATGCTGCAGCTATATTACTGGTATAGTTGTAGCACGAATGGGTCGGCTCGACCGGGGAAGGACCACGCTCTCACAGAATACCAGCGTATAATAGCGGCTTAACCCTGCTGTGTTGTTTATGGTGACTGTAGAGAACCGGAGACCCTTTTTACTGGAAAAGAGGCAGTTCTCACTTACCACTTTACCATATTACCACCAGGTGGACTGTGTGCTCGTTTGTCACCCTATCCTATAAAAAAAAGTCGTAATAGAGAATGCACTTGTACTTGCGCACTATAATTTTGTCCTGCGAAAATGGCTTGTCTCCGTTGAGACTGGCCGTCGTGACCTAAATTCGGTCTTCAGGACATTATCATATTTTGAAGAAAAACTACAATATTTCTTTATTTTTAGGTGCGTTCCTGATCCCTTTTCTCATAATGTTAGTGCTGGAGGGCATACCGCTCTTTCTGATAGAGATGGCTATCGGTCAGAAGATGCGACTTGGCTCCCTTGGAGTTTGGAACACCATACACCCGTGGCTTGGCGGCATCGGTATCTCAAGCTGCATCGTCACGCTATTTGTGGCCTTATATTATAATGTTATTATCACGTGGGTCTTCTTCTACCTGTTTAACAGTATACGGGTAAGTAATTGTAGTCATTTTTACTTTTCAAATAAATAAAGCATTTACATCCAGCAACATAGCTTTAGGTATATATTTGGGCGTCCAGCAGTGAACTTTTACGAAATGATAAAAAAGAAAGAAAAAAATGTGTGTGTGTGTGTGTGTGTCAAACAACTAAGTTTGCGGCATCACTAGAAACGCAGCTATATATACGCAGCTCTCCGTCTATCTTTATAAATATGTTGAACATACAAATGTGAGAAGTTATAAATATTTTAAAGATGTGTACTTACTCCACTCATACGCAATGGGGCAAATGCATTTGGAAAACTCTGACAGAAATAAAAGGAGGCCAGTTTCTTTTTATAAAACTAAAGTGACAAAAGAAATTACAGCCCACCTGATGGTATGTGGCCGCTGCAGTCCAAGGACAATTGCAGTCAACTTCAAACAAAGAAGGCTACAGCTGTGACTCCGTTGATTAAGATGGAATGTATCACAGCCTGTTATTATGCTGACAAACCTATTACCTAGCTTTCACTCAGAAGTGGAACACATGTAGGCTGTTACTTTCTTTTAACAAACAGTTTACATCTAAGCATAGGGCTCACGGTTAATTGAGATGATTAGCCTCAATTGTCAAGCCGCGTATCGATTACGGGGTCCAAGAGGTCGAACATTGGCGCGCGCTCCAGCCGCGCGGAATGGATACCGCCTTGCAGCGCGCGCCAAATTGTTCGCTGGAGCTCTCGAACGTGGAGCGGGCCACTCCATCTGGTGTCGGTTTTTTACCGCGCATCAAAGTAGTTCACAGTTGGGATGTTTGTTTTCATTATTTGTGTGTTCGTTGCGTTCCGAGCTATGGACATGTTGAATGGTCAAACACTGGAGCGGCTGCCGTACGCGCTAGGAGCGCTTAGTTGATACACTTCCAACATTTGGAGCGCGTTTCGCGGAACGCACTGGTCGGAGCGGTCATTCAAGGCGCGCGCGCCAGGAGCGCGTAATCGATACGCGGCTTTATAAAAATAAGAGGCTCTTTATTCGCTGTATGTTGTTAATATAATATGTTACACACCTTTAAAAATATGGAATGAAGTTTCTAACTTACTGCGACTTCTTATTCAACCTTCTATATTGCCTTCTACATTTTATCTACTCAAAAGGTATATATAATAATTTAAACTTTTAAAATTGTAAAAAGCGACAAAAATAATAATTTGCACATAGTTATGATTTAATAGCTTTTTGAAGTCGGTGCTGATGCATAGTGGATCAAACAAGTGTATCTAGCCCTAAAAGATATTAAAAAAGGAGAATTATTTTTTCTTTTTAATTTTTGAGTCTGTTTTTAAGTTTACTTCTTTAAAGTTTAATTATAAAATATATAAGTGACAAACGAATCATCAGTTCACATCATGGTAAGTGGCCAGTGCAATCAGAGCAGCTGGTGAACACTTGCAGTCAACTTAAAACTAAGAAGACCTGTATGCTTTGACACCACTGAAAATTGAGATGAAATGACTCATCATCATTACAGCCTTTCATAAGTTCACTGCTGAACATAGGCCTCCCCCAAGGAATGCCATAAAGCACGGTCCTGAGCCACCTGTATCCATCGACTTCCGACGACCTGGTAAGACTGCATGTCTTACCAGGTCGTCACTCCATCTCGTGGGGGGTCGCCCTACACTTCGCCTACCGGTACGAGGCTGCCACTCAAGAACCTTTCTTCCCCATCGATTGTCGGTGTATGACTCATAGCCTGCAATTATACTTACTCCAACATCCTTCAAACTTAAAAAGGGTTGGATGAAAGCAGACCTATTTGGAGTTTCCCATAGCCACCTTTCACGAACTCTGATGAACTATATTCGTGATATGGAAATGGAATGATGGATTTTATTCACCGCACTATATGGTATAATAAAGTGTGAGAACGGTTCTGTCTTTTTTATGGGATAAGGGTGGAGTCACAAACGAGCACACAGTCCACCTGATGGTGGGTGGTTACTGCGACCCATAGACATCTACATCTATCCTCGATTACGGATCAAAATGCAGATGCGTTGTCACCCGTGAGGACTAAGATGGAATGCCTCGTTTCCAGTAAAAAGGCTCTCCGGTTCTCTACACTCACCATATGAAACACAGCAGCGTTAAGCTGCTAGTTTACGCTGGTATTCTGTGAGAGCGTGGTCCTTCTCCGGTCGAGCCGACCCTATGCCTGCTACACCTGCTACCCTGCTACAACTATACCAGTAATATAGCTGCATCATGGCTCTACCACTGTCTGCACTTACTAATTACACCCCATTTGAAGACCAATTTTAAGATTGATTTTCTATTTGTTTAAACAATTTTAGAATCAGTTATTATTATAAAATTTAATAGTTTGCTCAATATACAATAAATAACGCGCCGAATAAAAAGGTTCGGAAATGATATTATCATTTTTTCTCTAAATAATGAGTTCGCAAAAAGTTCACTTAATCACTTACAGATGTACAGAGATGGGTGTATCTCTGTACGTCAGTCACACACACAGACATCCTTTAAAATAGTATTATAGAATAGGAGATTATGAACCGGACGAAATAACTTCTAAATACAAAGTCGCAGATGAGGAACTAATTAAGTCTTAGTTCCAATTAACAAAACACTCCCCCTAATCAATAAATGTATTTCCTATCCTAGTTGTCAGCGGACCAACTACCCTGGGCTCACTGTCCTCAAGACAACAGTTCCGCAGAAATAGAATGTAACAAGGCATCAGCAACGGTCTACTACTGGTACAGAGAGGCTCTGGACGCGTCTCCAAGTATCGAGGAGCCCGGCGTGCCTCGCTGGTGGATCGTCCTGTATCTCTTGTTGGCTTGGACCATCGTATTCTTTATTGTAATGAAAGGCATCCAGAGCAGTGGTAAAGTAAGTAAACTGTTTTATCTATTTTCGTCCGTTTTAGTCTCGAAATTCTCACCTTTTTTGTCTTCTCCGATTTGCCTTAAACGATAGATTGATATAACTTTTTGTCTTCTCATGTGAGGTGTATATGCGATTACATATTCAGTTATCAATGCGGCAAAATTCCCTATTTGCATGCGTATGCGTATTTCCAACGATAAATAATTTAATTTATCTTATGTCAGGTTCATAATTGATCATCTTGACGTCTATTATTTATACGTATCGTACTGTGAACTTATATCTTAAGTATGGACGCTATTTATATATTATATCACTAGCCATATCAATAAACGTGTCCACACTCGTATCGCATGATGTCAGCGTAGCGGTATAACGTTGTTTATTTATATATTATATCACTAGCCATATCAATAAACGTGTCTACACTCGTATCGTGTGATGTCGCGTATCGGCATAACGTTGTATATTTATATATTATATCACTAACCATATCAATAAACGCATCCACATTAGTATCATATGATGTCAGCGTATCGGCATAACGTTGTTTATTTATATATTATATCACTAGCTATATCAATAAAAATGTCCACACTCGTATCGTATGATGTCAGCGTAGCGGCATAACGTTGTTTATTTATATATTATATCACTAGCCATATCAATAAACGTGTCCACACTCGTATCGTATGATGTCGCGTATCGGCATAACGTTGTTTATTTATATATTATATCACTAGCCATATCAATAAACGCGTCCACATTAGTATCATATGATGTCAGCGTATCGGCATAACGTTGTTTATTTATATATCATATCACTAGCCATATCAATAAACGTGTCTACACTCGTATCGTGTGATGTCGCGTATCGGCATAACGTTGTATATTTATATATTATATCACTAGCCATATCAATAAACGTGTCCACACTCGTATCGTATGATGTCGTGTATCGGCATAACGTTGTATATTTATATATTATATCACTAGCCATATCAATAAACGTGTCCACACTCGTATCGTATGATGTCAGCGTAGCGGTATAACGTTGTTTATTTATATATTATATCACTAGCCATATCAATAAACGTGTCTACACTCGTATCGTGTGATGTCGCGTATCGGCATAACGTTCTATATTTATATATTATATCACTAGCCATATCAATAAACGTGTCCACACTCGTATCGTATGATGTCAGCGTAGCGGTATAACGTTGTTTATTTATATATTATATCACTAGCCATATCAATAAACGTGTCTACACTCGTATCGTGTGATGTCGCGTATCGGCATAACGTTGTATATTTATATATTATATCACTAGCCATATCAATAAACGTGTCCACACCCGTATCGTATGATGTCGCATATCGGCATAACGTTGTATATTTATATATTATATCACTAGCCATATCAATAAACGTGTCCACACTCGTATCGTATGATGTCAGCGTAGCGGTATAACGTTGTTTATTTATATATTATATCACTAGCCATATCAATAAACGTGTCTACACTCGTATCGTGTGATGTCGCGTATCGGCATAACGTTGTATATTTATATATTATATCACTAGCCATATCAATAAACGTGTCCACACCCGTATCGTATGATGTCGCGTATCGGCATAACGTTGTATATTTATATATTATATCACTAGCCATATCAATAAACGTGTCCACACTCGTATCGTATGATGTCAGCGTAGCGGCATAACGTTGTTTATTTATATATTATATCACTAGCCATATCAATAAACTAGTCTACACTCGTATCGTATAATGTCGGTGTATAGGCATAACGTTGTTTATTTATATATTATATCACTAGCCATATCAATAAACGCGTCCACATTAGTATCATATGATGTCAGCGTATCGGCATAACGTTGTTTATTTATATATTATATCACTAGCCATATCAATAAACGCGTCCACATTAGTATCATATGATGTCAGCGTATCGGCATAACGTTGTTTATTTATATATCATATCACTAGCCATATCAATAAACGTGTCTACACTCGTATCGTGTGATGTCGCGTATCGGCATAACGTTGTATATTTATATATTATATCACTAGCCATATCAATAAACGTGTCCACACCCGTATCGTATGATGTCGCATATCGGCATAACGTTGTATATTTATATATTATATCACTAGCCATATCAATAAACGTGTCCACACTCGTATCGTATGATGTCAGCGTAGCGGTATAACGTTGTTTATTTATATATTATATCACTAGCCATATCAATAAACGTGTCTACACTCGTATCGTGTGATGTCGCGTATCGGCATAACGTTGTATATTTATATATTATATCACTAGCCATATCAATAAACGTGTCCACACCCGTATCGTATGATGTCGCGTATCGGCATAACGTTGTATATTTATATATTATATCACTAGCCATATCAATAAACGTGTCCACACTCGTATCGTATGATGTCAGCGTAGCGGCATAACGTTGTTTATTTATATATTATATCACTAGCCATATCAATAAACTAGTCTACACTCGTATCGTATAATGTCGGTGTATAGGCATAACGTTGTTTATTTATATATTATATCACTAGCCATATCAATAAACGCGTCCACATTAGTATCATATGATGTCAGCGTATCGGCATAACGTTGTATATTTATATATTATATCACTAGCCATATCAATAAACGTGTCCACGCTCGTATCGTATGATGTCGCGTATCGGCATAACGTTGTATATTTATATATTATATCACTAGCCATTTCAATAAACTAGTCCACACTCGTATAGTATAATGTCGGTGTATAGGCATAACGTTGTTTATTTATATATTATATCACTAGCCATATCAATAAACTAGTCTACACTCGTATCGTATAATGTCGGTGTATAGGCATAACGTTGTTTATTTATATATTATATCACTAGCCATATCAATAAACGCGTCCACATTAGTATCATATGATGTCAGCGTATCGGCATAACGTTGTATATTTATATATTATATCACTAGCCATATCAATAAACTAGTCCACACTCGTATCGTATAATGTCGGTGTATAGGCATAACGTTGTTTATTTATATATTATATCACTAGCCATATCAATAAACGCGTCCACATTAGTATCATATGATGTCAGCGTATCGGCATAACGTTGTAAATTTATATATTATATCACTAGCCATATCAATAAACCAGTCCACACTCGTATCGTATAATGTCGGTGTATAGGCATAACGTTGTTTATTTATATATTATATCACTAGCCATATCAATAAACGCGTCCACATTAGTATCATATGATGTCAGCGTATCGGCATAACGTTGTATATTTATATATTATATCACTAGCCATATCAATAAACTAGTCCACACTCGTATCGTATAATGTCGGTGTATAGGCATAACGTTGTTTATTTATATATTATATCACTAGCCATATCAATAAACGTGTCCACACTCGTATCGTATGATGTCGTGTATCGGCATAACGTTGTATATTTATATATTATATCACTAGCCATATCAATAAACGCGTCCACATTAGTATCATATGATGTCAGCGTTACGGCATAACGTTGTTTATTTATATATTATATCACTAGCCATATCAATAAACGCGTCCACATTAGTATCATATGATGTCAGCGTATCGGCATAACGTTGTTTATTTATATATTATATCACTAGCCATATCAATAAACGTGTCCACACTCGTATCGTATGATGTCGCGTATCGGCATAACGTTGTTTATTTATATATTATATCACTAGCCATATCAATAAACGCGTCCACATTAGTATCATATGATGTCAGTGTAGCGGTATAACGTTGTTTATTTATATATTATATCACTAGCTATATCAATAAAAATGTCCACACTCGTATCGTATGATGTCAGCGTAGCGGCATAACGTTGTTTATTTATATATTATATCACTAGCCATATCAATAAACGTGTCCACGCTCGTATCGTATGATGTCGCGTATCGGCATAACGTTGTTTATTTATATATTATATCAGTATCGTATGATGTCGCGTATCGGCGTAACGTTGTATATTTATATATTATATCACTAGCGATATCAATAAACGCGTCCACATTAGTATCCTATAATGTCAGCGTATCGGCATAACGTTGTTTATTTATATATTATATCACTAGCTATATCAATAAAAATGTCCACACTCGTATCGTATGATGTCAGCGTAGCGGCATAACGTTGTTTATTTATATATTATATCACTAGCTATATCAATAAAAATGTCCACACTCGTATCGTATGATGTCAGCGTAGCGGCATAACGTTGTTTATTTATATATTATATCACTAGCCATATCAATAAACGTGTCCACACTCGTATCGTATGATGTCAGCGTAGTGGCATAACGTTGTTTATTTATATATTATATCACTAGCCATATCAATAAACGCGTCTACATTAGTATCATATGATGTCAGCGTATCGGCATAACGTTGTTTATTTATATATTATATCACTAGCTATATCAATAGAAATGTCCACACTCGTATCGTATGATGTCAGCGTATCGGCATAACGTTTATTTACGAATGCTACGAATTTTCCCCCGAGCGTCGTATCTTTACCCTCGAATTTTTAACCTTACATTTCGATACACGTCTGCGCCACGAGACGGTTATACAATATACTAAGATGAATAACTGCAGATCCGGCATCAATTGTGGCTAAATGATGTTAATACATAATGTTAATATTCTTAGCAATAAATATAACTCTTACTTACTTTCTATCATCGATAAAGCATCAAAAACTAAGGCGGCGACCTGATGACTAAGATGGAGAAGCTTGTTAGTAAAAGGGTCACTGGTTCTCACTTTACCAAGAACAACGTTATGCTGCTATTTTATGCTGGTAGTCTATGACAGCATATATCAACATAGCCCAACGTATCAGTAAAATGAAGTCGCAATGGACCAACCATTTCTTTCTTTCCCTTTCCTCTCGTGAACCTTTATTGAAGTTCCTAGATACCCTAACACTTATCACTTTGTTTTTCAACAAAAACTGACTCCTTTTATAAATTCAATTAATAGTCAGTTCCCCTTTTTTCAGTTCCCCTTTTTTTGTCGAAGAACTGACAAAAAAGGGGACGAAAGGTTCACGAGCAACCTCGTACCGGTAAATGAACTGTAGGGCAGCCCTCTACTAAATGGAATGATGGAGTAAGACGATGAATGCAGTTGGCTCAGGACCGTGCTTTGTGGCGTTTATGTGTATAATCGTATAATTAATTCGATACATATATTTAGTTAATTTTCATATAGGTATTGTGTCCATCCTTAATTCTTTCTCTTACAAATCATATTGCACCTCCAAATTTCGTACTATTCACTACTCGTAGTGTTCTCTGCTTACTTAAAGGTTGACTTGTAGAGAATGCCTTATGGCGTTAAGTCCGCCTTTGTAAATGTTTGTGCAACGAAGTTTAAAAAAATTAAATTCCTTGAGGAAGGCCTATGTCCAGCAGTTGCCTTGTTGACGACGATTCTGTAATACCTAGTGTGGGTCTTTCCGGTCGAGTCGACCTATGTATACCAGTTTGGGTCTACCATCTAAAAAAGTTTTTTACTCCATCCAGGTCGTTTACTTTACATCGCTGTTCCCCTACGCGGTGCTGACAATATTTTTCGTTCGAGGCATCACACTACCCGGCTCTTCTGATGGAATTCTGCACATGTATAAACCGAAAGTAAGTGTTACTTTTTCTTTTAAAAAACTCTTCAAAACGAGCAGGTTCTATATTCGACGTGTGTATTTTATTTTGTATTTTGTTTAATAAAACTGAAGTGTCGATTACGAAACAAAATTGGAAAATGCCTCATTACCAGTGAAAAGCGTCTCTGGTTCTCTACACTCACCATACGAAGCAGCAAGCAATATTCTGCTGTTTTACACTATATATTTAACTGCAGCATGACTCTACCATGTAAGAAATTGCCGACTTATTCATCATTCATTCGTTACCAGATTTATTTATTTCATATTCATTGTGTATTGACTACTATGTATCGTATTGTGTCTTATCATACATTAAAATATAAACAAATTTCAGCTGGAAAAACTGCTCGATCCCACTGTTTGGTTGGACGCGGCGACTCAAGTGTTCTACTCTTTCGGTCTTGCTTTTGGGTCCCTGATTGCCTTCGGATCTTACAACCCACCCAACAACAACTGCGTGAGGGATGTACTCCTGGTGTCAGTGTGCAACGCTCTCACTGCCATTTACGCTTCCGTGGTTATCTTCAGCATTCTTGGCTTCAAGGCATATACAATGGTTGAGAAGTGCATAACCAAGTAAGTGACTATTGACTTTATAAAAGGAGTCAGTTTTTGTTGAAATACAAACTGATGTGTGTTAGGGTATCTAGAAACTTCAATAAAGAAACTGTGGCTGTTTAACACCGCAATGTACTCCTCTGGTAATTCCAATTATTATAGTATAGTCTATCACGTTCAATTTATTGAAGTCCTTAGTGACCCTAACAATGTGTCTTACCTAGTTTGAAGAGCTCCTTCCTCCGTACTATAATTGCGGTCACTATCATCGTTACCACTAATCCCAATTCCACTATTACCAACTGCACTACAAAAGGAAAGATACACCACCATTGATAATACGACACGTGTTTCGCCTCTAAATGAGGCATCTTTGGAAGAAATAGACTCTGCAATGGCTAATTGCTAAATTAGCAATTAACGTCGGGTTCTATTAATAGTCCTAGTGTTTCTACTGTTCAGTATCTCTGACTAACTAATTAAACTGAATCATGTGATGACGTAAGCGAATCCTTCATCCCATTTTAAAGAAATTCTTTAGAAAATCTCAAAATTAAATAAATTGATAACAAACAGACCGATAGGATAAAATCAAAAGCAGAGGTTTTTATGGTTATTAATTTCTTAGGCCCTAATATATAAATGTAAATGTTTTATAGTGCACGTAGATAAAGATAGAAGGATTTGCACTTTCACGGTAAAGGGGAGTTAGAGAGAGAAAAATTACATAAATATTGCATTGCATTTATTATATATACAAAACACAATAGCAATCTGAAAGCACAAGGTCATTGCTTAGATAGAGTACCTATTTGAACAAACTACCTAATTAACCGGGTAACTCAATAACGTAAACTCAAATTGTATCAACACAATCTACTAATCAAATCAATTCGACGCCAGCTGCCGAAAACACATCACGTATTTTCAATCTAATTCTTATTAGATCAGTACGTCTCGAAATTTTACGGTCGTTCGTTACAATAATATTTTTATATAAAATACTGAAAAGAAATTGTAAACGAATCACATCTAAGATATAGAAAACGAGGCACAACGTCATAACATCCATAATCGACTTTACGTAATAACGTTGTAATACGTTAACGTAAAAAGTTGTCCTCCCCATAGAATAGTCAGAATAGTCAAATATCATCTTAATATTGTATGTATAAGTATATAAGTAGGTATTATTTAAATATATAGTAATATAACACACCTGTTACCTAGGTTTAGTCTCAGTGCATGTGTGTATACGTTATATAATATGTTAGCACTACCTTTTAACTCGTAATTGTTAATAGATAGTTCAGTAGTAGTAGACTCTTAGTTGGAAGATCACACACCGACTTGTCTGTGAAGTCACAAGGCTCCAACTGAAAACCAGCGCTGTATTTGCAGCATTATGCTGAGTTGGAAACCTATTTGATATCACATTTTCATATTAATTTTTTTCGGTTTTACCTTTTTGTTTGTTTGATTTATTATTGTGTATGTACTGCTTCTCAATTGTAAATGCGCAAACAGTGTTAGACTGGTACATGCATTCTTTTCCCCCTTGCTTTTGTTTATAATATTTTTTTAATGTGTGTAAAATGTGTATATCAAATAAATAGTTCTTTCTTTCTTTCTTAATAACGACATATTTCTCTATTTACTCGTAGTGTTTTTTTTTTTATAAAGCTGAAGTGACAAACGAACTCACAGTCTACCTGATCGTAAGTGGCTACTGCAATACATTAACAAATGCATTGTCAATCCCGAAGACTGAGATGGAATACCTCACAGCCTGTGATGACTTTTTCTGCCACCAGGGCGGCGCCTCTAGAAAGTGAGGTATAATATTTGACAGATTTCGTAGCGGGGAAGTTAATTTGTTCAGAAAATGGAAAAGTTATTGTTTTTTTTGTACTATTAGCTATATTTTATATTAATAACATTAAAAATAATTAACCAAACCACAGATATTCATAAAGGTAGAAATATGAAAAAAAGAGTTAAAAATGTGCAAAAAATTAAAGAGCAAACCACTGACGCATTGTTTTGTGTATTAATGTAATACTCTAGAAACTGATAAACTTTTATTAAAAAACAACTTCTCAATTAAATTACATTGTGTAACAAAAAACTTTACCTCAGTGTCAACTAGTGACATCTGGTGAGAAGGAAATTATTAGCCCTCATATACTGACTCTCTATATCCTCCAGACTGAGCAAATAGCAATGCAAGCATTGCTGTTTCTCGGTAATAAGTAAGGAGGTGGTACTCCCGACGGACTACTAAAGAGCAGATAAATAGTTTCCCACCTAGTATTATATTGTTTCTATAATTTGTATACGCACAACCTTATGTTGGGTTGTGGGCTGATTAACAACCTTTTTGAAAGAAGAGATCATATGTCCTCAATCAGTGAAATATCTCTCACATTACGATGTAATAAGCTGCTTTCAAATTTATCAAATTTTATCACCCGTCGTACTTTTCCGCCGACTTCAAAAAGGAGACGGTACCCAATTCGACTGTATGTTTTCTTTTATGTGTGTTACCTCATAACTTTTTACTGGGTGAACCGATTTCGATGATTCTTTTTTTATTTGAAATCTGGTGCTTCACATGTGATCCCATATAAATTTTATTAAGTTCTGTTTTTGAGTAATTCTATATTGAAGTCGGTTGTACAAAATTTTTAATTTTAAATTATTATAGGTATTATTCTAACCCAGTGGTCGGCAAAGTGCGGCTCCAGAGCCGCATGTGGCTCTTTGGCTCCTTAAATGCGGCTCTAGGACAAATATCCACGGAAGGTGTAATAATATTTTCATTTAAAAAAAACTTAATGAGAAAAAAATTACATCTTATTTTGATAAATTAAAATTCTTCTTTAAATCGAGAACATGTATAATTTTTTGTTTAAGTTAAAAGATAGATAAGTAATTAAAATGTTACATTGTTGTAAAAATACTTAACGAACATAGAGTTTAATTTTATTAGTTTTCGTAAACGTAAACACAAACCATGTACAAGCTACCGGCTGAAATTGTTCGTATATTTTCGGCGTACTCCGGTGTGATACAAAGGTACCACAAGCATGCGCGCGCATACTTTTTCTAAGCCACTACCTTACAAATTGGCATCACAGACCAGCAGTTGCAGTGTGAACAGTTTTGTCTTTTCTACCGTGTCTGCAGTTAAACACAACAACTTTTTAATAAGACAGGACTTATTAAAAAGTTGTTGTGTTTTTCAAACAAACATCTTGCAGGTATTTTTATACGATTTTATTAGACCTGCTATGTATGTTTGTGGTTCCTGTACAAAATTTGTAATCGATTTCTCGACAACTTCAATTTATCCAAATATTGGAAGGTTTCTTCCATTTTTGATCATATTAAAAGTTTTGTTATTCTGATGATTTTTATTTTCATCAATTTAATAATGATAATTTTTTTTTTATATTCTACTAAGACAGCGCTTATCTACTATCCCACCTGATGGTAAGTGGTGATGTAGCCTAAGATGGTGAAGCGTACTGACTTAACAAAAGCCTATTCACTCTTGCCTCGAAGACACGAACGACGTTTTTACGAACACCTAACTTACTGTATTCACAAATAAATAAATGAATTTGAATTTGAATTTGACACCCACACTGTAATCGGAAGGAAATACAGATGCTGGCAACTTATTCCACTCCTTTGCTGTACGCATGATGAACGACGTGGCGAACCGATTGGTTCGAATGCGTCGTAAGTCATGGCTGAACTTCTGGCTGTCCGATGGTGGAAGGGAGAGGGAGGAATTAAATTATGCAATTCCTGCGCACACTCCGAAATGCATACTGTACAAAACCGAAAAACTGGCTACTTTGCGTCTGTGTTCGAGGCTAGTAAGATAGGTTTTAACCAAATTCGGGTCACTAATAAGCCTCTTAGCACGCCTTTCCATTGAGTCCAAAGCTGCTAGGTGGCATTTTGCAGCACCAGCCCATATATGGCAGTAATACTCCATGCACGACTGGACTTGCGCTTTATATAAAGTAAGCATCCTTTCCTCATATCCTTCAGGATATCTCAAACCCTAACAACTGAAGGCAGTCGGTATATTCCAGTAATACATTTCGGAAAGAAGCTCCTTTTTGCAGTGAAGAGACACGCTTGTGTTTTGGAGGCGTTGAATTTCACAAGATTGGCATCACCCCATTCGGAGACCGTCTGTAGTGTGAGATTCACATGCTCTACCATAGCTTCTCTTTCGTACTGGATTTGATCCCGACTGCCCCGTGGACTTGGTTGGTATCTCTCTACAACTGTGCTATCGTCTGCATACCCATAGATACTGGGCATAAGCGATCATTAACATGCAGCAGGAATATAGTTGCGGAGAGAACGGACTCCTGAGGAACACCGGCGTTAGTCGCCATCCACGACGACCAGGAAGAGAACATTCAGTCAGAAAGTCCTTTACCCATTCAATCAGACCAAGGAATAAGCCGTACGCTGGAAGCTTACCTAAAAGGCTACTGTGCCAAACTCTGTTAAAAGGCCTTTGAGACATCAAGGGAAACAGTAAGTGCTTCCCAACTGTTCTCGAGTGCTTGAGCTGACGGATTTCGGCGAAACCCATATTGCCGGTCACTAAGGAGGTCATTCTGTTCTAGGTATGCCATTAAGCGGCCGTTGTACTGGTTGCTTTTGTTGTGTGTTGTACTGGTGATTTTAGAAAAAAGTATATTTAGAATATTTCTATAGGCACCCCAATTAACATAGCTACCAAAAAAAAAAACAAAGAAAAACGGAAGATGAAAACCGTGAATTTAAGGTTGAGTGGACCGAGAATTTTGCGTTTATTCAAAACTTAAATGGACTTCCGACATGTCAAATTTAGAGAGACACTTTACAAGAAAGCACGCCTCATTTAGCACTAAATATCTTACCGGTGATGCAAGGAATAAAACAGTTGAGGAACTTCAGAAGAGTCAAGAGTCGTCAACTTCTTTGTTTAATAACTGGATGCAATC